CCTAGAGTGGTAATTATGTGTGACCAGAGGGTCTTATGTGCTTGCTTGAGTTATGCATGATTGTGTGATAGTATTGTATGCTATATTGTCTGTTGCTTAGACCGGACCGGAGAGTCCAACGAACTATGAGGCCATAGGGTTCTCAATCAGACCGGGCCGGAGGGTCCAACGAGCTACGACACTGGAGGGTCCCGCTGAGACACATAGACCGGATGGTCTTACAGAGTATAGCCTCGAGTGGCGAATTGTTGTATGTGGTATTTTGGGGAACTCACTAAGCTTTGTGCTTACCATGTTATGTGTTATGTGTTTCAGGTTTCTCAGGATCGCGGGACGGCACCGACTTGATTGTACACACCAGAGAAAGAGTTATGTTTTGAGGATCGTGGATTATTAATGGAGTTGTGTTTTGTAATTTGAATAAACGAGATTTTTATACAATATGTTATGAAAAGTATGCGATTTTAAAATGGAAAATTTGTTTGAAAATTTACGTCGTTACAATTTTGATTTCATGTCATGAAAATATACATTATGTGTTGCAATCTCAAATTATGTAGTGGTCGGTAGGGGTGAGTATTTGACTTGGTTGGACCGGATCGGAACGAGTAATGTGGACCGCATATCGGTTTTTCTTATACGGTTCCAAATAGTTTCAGATCCAAATAGTTTTGGTGCTACCAGTTCCGGGTAAATAAGTGGCACCAACCCCAAAATTTGAAGAGCCAAAATCACTTTATAATGTTGCATTAACATCATATTTATCCTAACACTTAGTTTCTCTTTTGTACTTCATTTTAGACTAAAATTTCACCTTATTTGGTTGCAAATTAATTGAGTTGCATGCCTTCCAAAATGGGGTATCTAAACTGATTTTTTTCTATAGTACCAAGTTTTATTCCATACATAACCAAGTTTTTCATTATATTTGGTATTATTCTAGATCATTTAATTACCCATAAATGCTAACATAACACATCTAAACCATTGGATAGCAACTCCATCATCGAGTAATACATTCAACATAACAAGTTGTACCGATTCCAACTGGGTAAATAATTGGATAATCGGGACCAGCACCGTAGGCTGACTGGTCACGTTTTTGGTCCACTCGTTTCCATTAAATCGATTTCGGTTCCAAACCGTTTCGGGGCAGATGCTTGCCCCTAGTGGTTGGCCATAAATTGATGTATTCTGTTTCATGTTAACGCAAATTCAATATTACTTTTTCATGACATAATTAAAAATATAGGTTTCAAATTAAAATTAAGGGAAAGCTTCACCAAACTCCTTATTTTTTTTTATAACAGCTGATAATATAACAACCAACTAGTAAGAAGCTAGAAAACTTCACCAAACTCCTTATATTCTAAGCTCATTAACGATAAAACCATAATTTTATTGTTTTGAACAGAAAGAAACAACAAACCAGTAAGTATTATAAAAATTGACAAGAACCTGAAAATTGTTTGTGTATTTGGGAGTTTAGTCGGTAATTTTTTTTTATCCCAAATAGGTAAATGATTGCTGGATTTTTTTTAAACAATTGCGAACATTTTGTACAGTTATGTTAAAAAAATTGAATTAATTGTGAATAGACGTAGAATATAGGGCATTTTGTTGAATATTTTTAGAATCAATCTCATAACCTTTAAATTTGAATAATTATTAGAAGACAAAAATGCTAAATTGGTCCTTGTGTTTTGCAAAAAACTTTGGATGGGGTCCAAATAGTTTTCAACTTGCATGGAAGGTCCAAAATCAAGAATTTTCTTTGGTTTTGGTCCTTGAAAATTTGAAAGGACTATTTTACCCTTATTATTTATTTTTCACATTTTCTTTATTTGTTTTAATTGTTTTATAATTAAAAAAAAGCAAAAGAAAAGAAAAATAGAAGGACGACCCCACCCGATTTCTCTCTCTCTCTCTCTCTCTCTCTCTCTCTCCCCACCAAATCACTTTTTAAGCCATTTATTTTATGCATTTTGAAATTTCAACAATGGTGGTTACACTCTCCCTCCGTCACCTCCGGAGGACCACCACCAAATCAAATGAAATGGCATCAAAAATAAAAAATCCTCTATAATCAAAGATACAAAAATCTACTGAAATAAACCAACCCAAACCAAAACAAAATCAAATACCCTTCCATAAAATGTTTACACTCTCTCACACAACCTTTCTCTACTTCAATTTACTTGGTTCATCGTTGCTTCAAACTTCCATCTGATTCATTCTTATTCATCAACATCGTGACCTTTATGTTGTAGAGCTTCCACAATAAAAAATCTCTCCCAGTTTCTAATAACACCACATATGACCCACCGCCACCACCAGCAGGAGTCAGAATGCACCGAAGGATCTCTTCAATGACATTTCATATCCAACCACCAACAATGTCAGATACAACCATGTGGGTTGTGGGCGTTATGCATCTCCAAATTGGTATCTTCAATGGGGAATCGATGTCCACATCCATCAGGAACTGGTGGGATATTGGCTGGGGATCGATCCTTTCCAGAAAATCAGAATTCGCATAGGATCTAGAGATGAATCAAGAGGCATCTTCCATTCTCGTTGCCATAACAAAGGTAGATTAAGACACATCGGACAAGTTCATCAGATCTGATAAGTCGGACTTCCTCGGACCATCAGTTCAAACTCCTACAGTTCTACCATTTGAGAAGATGAAGGTTGAAGATGAAGAGAAAGAGAGAGAGAGAGAGAGAGCCGTTCTTGATCCAAATCTCGACGTTTTCTCATTAAATCTTTTGCCTGTTCCTCCACCTATTGATTTGTTTCAGTCCGAAAAACCCAGAAATCAATTTGTTTCTTCCTGATGTCATCGATTTGAGATAAGTTTGATTTAGAGGTGAGGGTGAGGAAGAAGAAGATAGGAGAGAGAGTCTGATAAAGGGGGAGTAGGTTACCAGTGTGATTTTATTTTATTTTTATTTTGAGAAGATGCAGGTGTTGAAGAAGGAGAGAGAGAGAGAGAGAGAGGGTGGGCCTAATTCTTTTATTTTTAATTTTAAATAATAAATTATTAAAGGAAATATAAAAAAAATACAAAAAAGAAATAAAAAGGGCAAAACAGTCTTTTCAAGTTCTCTATGGACCAAAACCAAAAGAAATTTTTGATTTTGGACTGTCCATGTTAAAACATTTTGGACCCTATCTAAAGTTTTTTGAATACCAATGACCAATTTTACAATTTTGTCTTATTAGAAAAAATACTATTTGTTTAAACTTAGTAACGACTAAAACCAATTAAAGAAAACAATGTAAACGTATTCTCGTGAACGTCGATTATTTAAAATAATAATAATAATAATAAATAAATAAAGTTGCAAAGAACTAGAAGTTTAAATAGTGTTCAAGGGTATTGAAGCTAAGAGACCCAAGAAAAATAACTTTACAATTCCTATTACTAAGCCAAAAAAAAAAATCAACAATCAAAGTTAAAAATCAACTCTCCAGTCTCCCCTATGTGTGTTGGGCCATGGCCCGATCATCTTGGGCTTGGGCCTGCTATGAGCCTATGAGATTAGTGATCACTCTTCATATCCTAACTGCTAACAAATGAGTTTTATTTTTATTTTGAGAAGATGCAGGTGTTGAAGAAGCATAGTTTTATAGCCAATAAAATATTTATGAATAAGCTATTATCAAAAATAAAAATATGAAAAAAGACACAAAAAATTAATTACCAACATTTTCAACATATGTTCTGAGATAGTAAGATACTGAGATCCTTTAGAGCCTTAAGCTCGACTGATGTCTCTTACACTCGTTACCATTTTTTGTGGATGTCAAACAAATAAACCATAAATACAACAAAACTGTAACATAAACCAATGACCTACAAGTGGGACATTTCATGTCACATATTTAGATAATCTATTTCGATACAATTTAGAATTTATTTTGAAGTCCATGAAAATATTGCCTAAAAGATCTCAGTGACAAACACGTGGCAATAGGTTTAGATCCGTCTCTCCTATTTTCTTGTTGTCATCAATCAGCTTCGAATAAAGAACAAATACTTGGCTTATGATTTCTAAAGTTTAAAAGCATCAAGATGTTGAAATTACGTAAAATTTTTAAGGCTTCTGAAGATCTTATCTTCAATGACATATCCCGATTGTCTTTCTCAAGAAGGCCTAGAGCATTTGTCACCTCTTCAAAACCTTTACTCAAGGTAAAAAAAAAATCAGATATATCATGATCTTGCTCTTATGCACACATTGATTGATTTATCATTTTGTATATCCATGAAAAACGTAATATGAAATAAGTTTTTATTGTTAAATTGTAAGTTTTGAGTTTTGAAAAAAAACAAGGAAATAAAACGATGTGAAAACCACAGAACACGGATGAGAAAGTGGAAGAAACATGTGCAGAGGTAACAGAAGCAGCTGAGGAAGTTAAGGAAGGATTCGAGCAGGTAATTTGTATGAATATATTACAAATATTAATGTTTAAAAATAATATAAAAGCATAATAATTAAGATCTTATAAGTGGTTATACTCAGGTTTCAAAAATGAAAAAAGATGTTAAAGGAAAGGTATTGGAGGCAAAAGGTGGTTTGGTAAAGCGGGCAAGGGAAAATGTGGTCGATGTTGCTGCCCAAAAAGCTAAAGAAAAAGTAATAAAAAATATCAAATGAGGAACCTGATGTATGTATCTCTTGAATGTGTTATATTCCATATTTTATCAAACTTATATGTTCTCTAATTAATACACTTTTGAATACAATCGATATTCGACTTGTTATGGGGAACCCTGACTTGAAAAAAGTTGTAAAAATGATTCCCTGTTGTTTGTCTTTTTTTGTTGTTGTTACAATCCAAAAATCTTTCAAATTTACAAAAATAGTCATTTTTGTTTGGTTTGGTTTGGTTTGTTTGTGTTATAAATCAAGAAAATATAACAAATCTTGACCTAACTGCGTCTGTTCTTAATCTTTTCTTACTATTAAACAACCAGTTTTAAGTCCTTCAAGTGCTTCTTGCTTTCTTAAAGCATCCGTATCAGAGTTTTTATGAGTTTTTATGGAGTTTTTTCATTAAAAAACTTTAAATCACTACAAGGATACGGAGCTATGCAGACGACACTTATCCCGACGACGATTGTCGTCGCTAAAAGTAACCCTATCCCGACGACTTGTCGTCGCCATACCTTTTGCAAACTTTGACCAATTTACTTTGACCAGGACCTCTGTTCCGACAACAAGTCGTCGGTACAAGTCTGGCGGGAACAACAAAAATATTCGCGGTATTCTGACGACATGTTGTCTGGATAGGGTCCGAATTTGTCGTCGCCATAGGGTGTTAATGTTGTAGTGAATAAAAAAACTTGTTTTATCTCTAAAATAAAAAAAAAAGAAAAAAACTTCAAGTGCTTCATTATGTTTTTTTTGGACTTAAAAAAAACTTTCTATTTACGATTGGTTAAAAGTTTGTGAGCCCCACCAAATTAATGAAAAATCTCAATGAAAAAACTTATTTATTAGACAAAATTGCAAGAATGGTCCCTATGTTATGTCAAAATCATATGTTTGGGTCAAAAAAGTTTGGACTAGCACCGGTGGTCCAAAAGTTTCATTTTCTTGCGAGTTTGGTCCAGTTTGGTTTGAACTTTTTTATAAAGACGATTTTGCCCTTGGTATTTAATTTTCCATTTTTATTTTATTACTAGCAATTAAAGAACAATTAAAAATAAAACAAAAATAAAATACTCTCTCTCTCTTTCTCTCTCTTACAACCCCAATTCCAGAGAGATATTGAACCCATTGTTATCAGGGTTTGAAATCAAGGAACCCTTGAAGAACAATTGTACAAAAAGTTCATCAAGAAATCATCATCGCTGCAATTTTTTAAACCTTGTTTTGTAATTTCTTTCACATGAGTTTCTCATCTGCACAACAACTTCGAAACTCATATTCATCTTCTTCTAGCTTTAACTCCATTACAACAGTTATTTACACCTAGTTAACGAAATTGAAACAAAAAAGCAAATAAAAAAATGTTCGATATCTAAATCCAAACCCCATATTCCAGATCATCATCGACGAATAAGAAATTCCAACAAAACCCAGATTGGAAAAACAAAGCTTCAGAGACTGATAAGAACCCATTTACTGAATTTGAAGTGATAAGTGGTTTCAATTTTCATATACAAACAATGATTAGAGAAACGAGAAGGGAGTACGAATCTTACTTGAGAGAGCTCGTCGATTTCTCAAGAACCAACTTGCAACAACAACAAAATCCTTTGAAAACTCCCACTTGAAGTGCTTCAATGACGGCATCGATTCAGTCTCCTTCGGTTCAGAGTAAAGGAGAAGTGGATATGAGGGATAGGAGGTGGGTGTTGGCTTCGATTTCAGTTTCAGAAAGAGGAAGACAAAGCTTTTTGGTTTGGATCTTATGGGGGATCCGACAGACTTTAGGGATGAATATACATAAAACAATTTCCAGAAGGAAACCTACATATACACACATACATAAATCGATTGTAGATTGGATTTTGTGGGTTTTCGTTTGAGAGAGAGAGATTGTTTCGTGTGTATGTGTGTTCATCAGATATAGCGTTCATGAATGTGAGTGTGTGTGTTCTTCAGTTCTTGATTTCGACTTTAGAAAAAGCACCAATGTCGTCCCACTAGGTTATGTATCCTGGTATATAAGATATTTTTATGCTGTAGTGATCTGTTAGATCTGTATCCTGGTTTATAGGATGTTGTTATGGGGTAGTGATATGTAGATCTGTCTGTTTGCCTGTTGACTGTTTATATTTTATCTGTTGCATATGTCAAGATAGTATGGTTTGGGTTGAGGCTTTACTGCAATATGCGTGAGCCAACAGACCGGGGGTAACCCAACCCGATGGATGTGGACCCTACGGTATATCAGTCCGATGACTGATTAGACCTGTTCCATATTAGCATTCCAGTCCTATGACTGATTGGGTCGGGGGTAATCCAGCTCGATGGTTGTGGGCCCGAGGGTATTTTATTCCGATGATTGATTGGACCTAGCATGCATAATTGTATAATTTTTTGGTTGTGTGTGGTACTTTGGGGGAACTCACTAAGCTTTGGCTTACAGTTTCGGTCTTATGTTTCTGGTACTTTAGATGATTGAGGGAAAGCTAAGGCATGATCGTGCACATCCTTCTGATTTTATGATATCTGATTTTGGGATACTCTTATTCACAAGTATTACTTTTGGGAACTATGTTTTGTAAACATTTATGGTGTTTGGTTGGATTTTAAGAATTAAAATTTTTACCTTGATTTTTAGGATGTTACAGATCAATCAGTATAATGAATTGGAATCACTGACAAATCTTATTTATAAGTTCATAAGAACGACTTATTACTATAAATACAAGTTACACTAAAAACAAAAAAGTGTAGCTTAGCTTACAGAGGTTTTAGCGAAAACTGGTAAACTGCGCTGGCAGAACTCTGGCTTGCTAACTATTAGATGTCAGACTCTCAGGGGCTTTAGAGCTTCGCCATATACTTAAAACTAAGGGAAATGGGCTCAAGATTGAGAGAAACTCGAGAGGAGTGAATTGGGTTGGTGTCGAAATCAAATGAACTTTAAATGTTATTTATAGGCTGTCCAGAGGCTCTTCACATCGTGAGACATGGTGTCTCACTTCATGACACGGGGCGGATAAGGGTGGAGTGTCAATGCATGCCACGCATGCTGTTTGTGCGTGCGGGCGCGCGGGGAATTTTCGTTTCATGAAAAATTCATATCTTCTTAATACAAGCTTCACTTTCGACGGGGTTTATATCCACGCGTAGTTATCGATGATATCTACAACTTTCATTTATACTTCGTCGGCTAATTTTGACTTTATTTTTAAACTTATATTTTTAACAGGCTTAAACTGTTAATGTCCGTATAAAAATCACAACTTTCTCATATGATATCCATTCTCGACTGTCTTTATATTGACATATATGTATGAATGAGATCTTCAACTATTATTTAGATTGTTTTTCCTAACAATCGACCATTTTCAATTTCGGTTTCTGAGCCATATATTGTTATGTTGAAACTTCGAAAAATCATAACTTCCTCTCACGAAGTCAGATTTGAACGTTCTTTATATGCACGCTCTTGGTTTAATAACGATTACGGTTTTTGTTTATATCTCTTAGGCTAAAAAGTAATTCATCAAAAATTCACTTTTTACGATATGCAGAGTCGTGTCGGTTTAATCGCGAAACTTCAAAGAAACATAATTTCTTCATACGAAGTCGGATTTGAACATTCTTTAGATGTATGGAGTCATTGACACATTTAATATAACTATGTTTAAGATTATTTATCTTACATAATCTTCTACCAAAAACGTAATTTATCGCTCGTCGATAAATTCCCCTAAAAGGCTTATATTAAATAGTCAGCAACGCACAAGACTGAGGAGTATCCTATTGGATTATTTTAAATTATAATAATTATTACTTATTATCCTTTACATGTCTAACCCAAATTTGCAGACGTTACAGTATATTAATGCATAAAATAAAGTACGTTGCTATTGCTTTGTAATTTGTCCTAAACTTTAACAGCAAATTAGATTGCTATTTCTTGACATTTATATAATTTTATTTATTTGCATTTGTACACCATTATTCCAAGAATGTCCTTAACACCATCTGGAAAATAAATCTCATTCACATTCCAAAGAAGACATTTTCCATTAGCCGTTTGTTTTGCAATGACAATTAACAAGAACCAATGACAGTCTTTATCTAAGGTTGGTTTGTTTCTCGAAGATCCGATTTTTTACACATGACCAATTGTATGTTGTCTTATCTAGAATTAAAAGTAGAGAAATGTTAAAATTGTTAATTTCAGATAAGCATGATAGAGTTACAAATAAATTCTAATGTTTTGTGTAAAGAAGTTTTTAGAAATTTGTAAATAGTTTGTAGAATATTATTTCTTATAACATCTTTTATTATTATTTGTAATAAAACCTTTTTTGTTAATTTTCATTTGTAATTTGTTATATTTTTTTTCATATATTTTTATTTCAACAACTTTATTTTCTGATTTGTCATAACCAAATTTAATTTACTTTATTTATTGTGGTTGTTTTATTTTTATAAGCAATTTAACATTTCATTATACAATATCATTATTTTTTCATTAATTCACAAACATAAATTGTCTCATGTGTCTTGAAAAATAATTTTATATATTTATTTGAATCAACGATTATAATTTTACATGAATAAAAAAAAATATCTTAATTAATAATTTATTGAAAACAATTGATTAATAATTATGACTTTTTACTATAAAAAATTATTTATTTTTGTAACTGTGGTTTCCACAAGCTATAACCTAGTGTTGCATTAAAGACTAACATTGGCATACATGCCATCCTAGGTGGCACCGGTGCGACACTAGCCTTGGTTGATTCAACGACCCCTCTTAATCTTAATCTAGACTTGAGTTGTGGGTTTAGTGAAGCTGCTATTTTGAGGTTATTTGGGCTTAAATTATGTTACGTATAGTGGAGATGATTTTAGGGTTAACTATATTTTATGATTTTAATGATTTCCTTTTAGTTGTTTTCTTAAACAAATACAAGTCTTATTGGGGTTATATTATTATAAATAGGGCTGTTAGTCATTTAGAAGGAATTAGGTTTTGGGATTTATAAAATTTATTAAAGATTTTGAAAAAAAATGTGAAGAAAATATATTGTTTTTGAGTGTCTTCTTCAGCCTCTCGTGCTTTTGTT